AAATTTTCCCAAAATTTTACTCAGTTTCCGGACATAAAAATAGTTGATAAGTTTTTGTATGTACGCACCGAACATTCGAGGGGAGACTCGTCACAAGAAAGTCCTTCGTGGAAACTATGGGTGCCTGATCGACTTAAAGTCGATGTGCTCAAACAAGCCCATGACAGCATAACGTCGTCTCACGCCGGCATGCAAAAAAACCATTGAGAGAATCCGCAGACATTTGTTCTGGCCAGGATTAGTTAAAGATGTACGTGAATACATACGAAATTGCGAGATATGTAAAGAAACTAAGGCTCCAAATTATACCCTTCGGCCACCTATGGGTGCTCACATCCCAACTTGCAGACCATTTCAAAGGCTTTATATTGACCTGCTTGGGCCATACCCTAGAAGCAAAAGCGGTCATGTGGGATTGTTAATAGTCTTAGATCACTTTAGCAAGTATCATTGGTTGCAGCCCCTGAAGAAATTCACCTCAGCTGTGATACAAAAATTTCTTCTTGAACAAATTTTCCATTGTTTTGGTGTGCCACAAACTATAATAAGTGACAACGGCACCCAGTTCAAAGCTCGTGAGTTCAATGCCTTCTTAGCCGAACTTGGCATTAAACATCTGTATACAGCTCTATATTCACCGCAGAGCAATGCTGCAGAACGAGTTAACCGCTCAATACTCGCCGCCATTCGCTCGTATTTAAAACAGGATCAGACCCATTGGGATGAACATATTACAGGGATTTCATGCTCCTTAAGGTCTGCTCTGCACCAATCGATTGGGTGTTCTCCATACCGTGCCCTATTCGGGGTGGATATGATCACTCATGGTACCGATTACAAATTATTGAAGGAGTTGTCCTTATTGGAAGAACCGCAGGCCCCCCTGTTGCGGTCTGACCATTTGGCATTGCTAAGGACAGATATTCAGAAAAACATCAGGAAAGCCTATGAGCGCAATGCGGCTCAATATAATTTACGCAGCAAGCCTGTTTCTTTTCGTGAAGGACAGGAGGTGTTCTGTCGAAATTTTGCGCTTAGTAAATTCTCACACAATTTTAATGCTAAACTGGCTCCCCAGTTTATTAAATGCCGTGTCAAAAAGAAACTCGGAAATTGTTTTTATTCCCTTGAAAATCAGCAAGGAAAAGAAATTGGTACTTTTCATGCCAAGGACATTAGAGTCTAATTCCCGCTAATATACCCGTCTAACGGTAGGATATTATCGGGTGGTGTAATGGTCGCAGTTTTCCTATTTAAATTAAACCGCGTAAGCGATCCTAACAGCTTGCGTTTGTGTAACGACGCTAAAGCGATCAGCTTTTGTCTGTCATGGTCAGCTGCGAATGAGTCAGCCGCTGCTATAAACCGCCTGCGTGCACGTTGGCAGCGCAGCTATCTTCCATCTAATCCGGGAAAGAAAAAAGCTCTGAGACCCTATATAAGCCTGCAGGTCCCGGATATAACCCTTTTTTTTTTCAAAAGTTACTTTACCATCGAAGGTCTGGCTACGGCGGTGCGGACATAGCCCCACCAAAATATTAATCTAAAAGCAACAAGTTCGGGCATCAGTCGTTTAATTCGTTTAATTTAAATTCCAACTAAATTGAACCAAAAACAACAAAAAAAATAAAAAGAAAAACCCTAAAAGTAACCGATTGGCGAAATAAATTTTTTTGTTCATTTGATGATAACCTTTCGCTCCGCCACCCGGCCACCAGCACCTCACCGGCATATATTTCTTTGTGCCAAGATCTGGTCACAGTTTTAACCAGTTCTTGCTTGCCTGCCGAAAGTAATTTTTGGAGGAATAAATCTTGCCGCCGCCGTCTCTGACAGAAAAACCCACTTATTTTGAGGCAGCCGCCACGTGTGCCAATTGGACGGCACTGTAATTTCTTGGGACGGCAATGACATTTCTGCCCCCATTAAATAGACGTCAGCCTCAACGGCGGATCAGCTGCCATACCCTTGCTCATGCCAGCAAGGGCAGGCGCCGTTTCCACAGTTTGGAATCCGGAAGAGGCAGTAGCCTTCTGGGCCCCATTGACGCGCCGCTGATCAGAAGCCCAGATGACATCGCCAATTAAGTTGGCCGGAGCGTGCAGATGCATGAAAATTGCTGTTAAATGTTTTTAGTAAAAAAATTGTTAACTAAATCTTGTGAGAGACTTCCAAAAGTTTGTGAAAAGTGCATTTATTAGGCCCTCAAAAAACCGCGTGCAAGTGCAGTGAAAAAGCAAAATTGACATCTATATACATAGCTTTATATATATAGAAAGGAATACTAGTATAAATCTATCCCCCTTCTTGTAGAGTCCAAAGTCATTTCAGAATTTTTTTTATATTTTTTTTTCCCACTTATTTTCGGAGAGTATCTTCTTAGTACTCACAATTTAAAAACCCTCCTGTGCCATAATAATATAATCAAAACAATTTAAAGCCCCACAGAAGACAAAAGAAAACAAATGAAAAAAAAAATAAATAAAATTTGCTGCAAACTCTCCGCTGGAAGGCCTTTCATCGAGGAATACATGTAAGTTTTTAACCTTTTGTTTTGAGTATATTTTCTTATTTTGGCACAGATAAGCACAGCCAAACTGACATGCGCACCTGCTGAGTTTTTTTACTTTCTGTTTCACATTACGCTTTAGCTCCGATCAATATGTTTATGACCGTGTCAGTCTGGTGAATGCTTATCATCTTTGATTCTACCTACACCCCGCTCAATTACTAGCTGAAACAGAAGCAACCTAAAAGAAAAGATTTTTAACAGAATCAAATATATGTACACAAAGATGTATCATCGTATTCACCGATCAGCTGGTTGCGCTGCGCTCCGATTTGCCCATGCGCTTTGAGCTTAACCTTCTGTTGCCCATATTTTTTTCGACCATACAATTAACCATCAACTACAATTGTATTGACTCTATTATAATAACTTTTTTTTTTTTGCTTTTGCCGAATACACTTTAGTTCAATTTACGAATGTCATTTTTTTCTTACCTAGCTATATTCTATAATTATTAAAATGCACTTTAGCGAAATTTGGAGAGTTTCTTTTTGATCAATAAGAAAAAAAATATTAACTGAATAGTTTATAAAATGAATTATTTTTGAAGAATCTTTGAGACATTGTAAAAATATTAACGGACTAGTTTTAGTTACTGAATTATTGTTGAATCATTAATGCCACTTGTAATAAGATGCAGATTATCTAACGGAAGGATTCAGTTTCATTGAATAATGCTTTTGTTTATAATAAATATTAATTACGGATTTTGATTATGAATTGCTAAGTTTTCTTTCCTGGTGACATGGTGATATAATGTAGTAGAAGAATGTTTTTTTTGGGATCTTCAAAACCTTAAACGCTGAAGATCATGGTTGGGAGGGTATCGAACGCGAGAGTCAGCTTACATCCAAGACTTCGCCTCTTCGGAATATATATGCCCTAATGAAAGCTATCACCATTGTATTGGCACTTTAAGTGCTCGTTAAGTTATGCCTGTTTGAGATTTTGTTTCTGCGGAGTATCGGTCTCCAATTTAGATTCTGTAGGGATCCTAAAATAAAATTGTGTATGCAGGTCGAGACATGGCAAAAAGAACCCCCCCACCCGAAAGAGCTAGGGAACAAGAGGATCCCGCCCTGCCATGCTAACTCAACCACGAGGGGCCTCGGTGACTACTTCCCGAATTATTTTGTGAAGATTGGCTGCCAACCGCCGTCACCGTTGCTACCCGATATGTATTGCTAGAGTAGCTTCACCACAGTACATGCTACAATGCATAAGTAAAATATGAAACACAGTTGAAATGTATTCTCGTTGGCATTTGATAACCAACGATTAAACAGTGGCAAGCCAACAAGCCGCTTCTGAGAAATATCATCTGGGTACGATATAAAAGTACATAAGCCTTTGTGCAAGTTAGCCAGAGAAATCCTCAAGCACCGGAATAGACTGGTCTTATGAGAGACACAGATTGGCCGCCGCTCTGTTGCATTCAAGGGACTAGTATAAGAATTAAATATAACATATGTGTGTGTTAAGAGATTATTTTTGATTTTGCGGTGATACAAAGTATTTCGTCAACAGTCGCAAATGGATCCTGTCCGCTCGATAACGAATTAAAGGACTATAAGTACCAAACTAGTGTTTTGATAATACGCCTTGACAGCACAGCTTAACAGCGTACCAGGCATGGATGTTGAAATTCTGATTGCCAGCTCAGGCAAAAATAAAATGTGTATTGATATCGATATTCTTATCATCAGCCATAATTTGTTGCCACGGCATTATTGCGCACAAAAGCAAAAACGTTCGCATATATTGCGGTTAAAGCAGCCAATTTGCTAAACGTCGTTCGTCGGTGGCGCTGCTGGCGTTAGGTTTCTGCCTTTATCAGCTCGAAATTGGCCAATTTATTGCATTTTTTATACATCGAGGCTGTATGGTTTGGGTGTGTGTGCGATTTTGGCCATTAAAATGCGATTTCGTTTCGTTTTCTAGCAAACAAAAGCGCTACAGGTGCAGTACATTGAACCAGCCCCCAAACAGCAGCTCAAAGGAAAAGGAAATTGCTTACCGTTCAAATGCTCAGCATCAGTTAGCGTTCTATTTTTAGTCGGGACATTCACTGTATTCTAGGGAATGGCTGGAAGCATGACTGCAAGTTCAATGCACACACGTATGTAGTTTAGAGTTTGCAAATCACCAGCAGGTTTGCCAGCAGGTTAATCCCCTCAAAAGGTTGATTAGCCTCTAGGGACGCAATAAAGCGGTTATTTTTCATCTGATGCGAACTTTCAAATGTCGCAAGATGTCGCGCGTAATATTTGCTCGATAAATGCTCTCGATAACAAAATGACGAGCGCATTGGTATTTATTACAAAATAAAATTTGGTATTTTGGTGCCATTATCGGCTCGCCATATGGCGAACAGCTGTTAGTATGTGATCTGTGAGTAAGCACTTGAGATATTCGAATTAGGTAAATCACATTCAATAAAACTGAACACAGTTTGCCTTGTTTTAGATTTTATAGCTGACAAAGAACATATTCCAAATGGCTGAGGAGAGTTGGAAAGAAGCCGGTGACTGGAGGGACTCACCCTTTTTTATCGTTCTATACGAATACACGGTGAAGAATGCCGGTATGCCCACGGACATGGGAACATTAATTGCCTATGTTTTGCTCCTTCTCGTCACTTGGTATGTACTTCTCTGGACGGCACGCTTCATGATCTCGCTTATCTGGCCTGTGATCATCGTTGTATCTGCGCTGTTCCTGTTTCGCTTCCTTCGCACTTTCGAACAAGACGAACTGCTGGATTTGTTATTCCAGGCTATAGGCTTAACGACGGATGCTGCAGTAGCGATTTTATCAAAGACACTTGACTTTTTGTTGGGCCTTTTGCACTGAATGTGCATCAGTAAGACTTGTCTTGCATCTATGCATACATTCCCAAATTTGTGTACATACGTTTAAACTAAAGTTATTGAAAAGTCTTGGCTCCAAATTGTAAATGTTCAAAATATATTGGTATGCTAATTATTATTGTATTGGTATTTTTTTTTTATTTTTTTTTTTGTATTCCGCGAGATTTGGTCACATTAGAAGCCCGGCAAATCGTTATAATTTCATCAACAAAACGAAATTGACCATTTTGGGAATAGGGCAAGTATTAACTATTTAAATTAGTAAAAATGATGAGATTCGAACTATATTGTAAGGTTCAAATGCATATAAACTAGCGCTGTCGACTAAAATCTTTCTTAATTTCAAGTTGAAGAACAAGCAGCTAAAATAATAAAGCACTTATTTTTAGCTTTTCATGTGGTGCCTTGAAAATCACGTCGATCCGCATCTGTTGAGCAAATTTAGTGACACTGATAACAAATCAAAAAAATCTCGTGAGTTGTACGGCAAAAACAAATAAAAGCTTCATGTTCTAAAAATATTCGGCATTCGTTGGAAGCTAATATAAAAAAGTTCTTGTATTGGCTATTCCAGAATGCCAATTATACGCTTGGAATCTTCCGATAAGGAAATTTTTGATACCGATATCGAAATTGCCAAATGTTCGGAAACTATTAAGACGGCACTTGAAGATTTGGGTGACGAAAGCGACAATAGTGTGCTACCCCTGCCCAATGTAAACTCGACCATATTGCGCAAGGTGCTCCACTGGGCTACCTATCATGCCCAAGACGATCCGCAGCAGCCCCAGGAGGATGAGAACAAGGAAAAGCGCACAGACGATATTTCATCCTGGGATGCTGACTTTCTTAAAGTCGACCAAGGCACCTTGTTCGAGCTCATTCTGGCCGCAAACTATTTGAACATCCAGGGCCTATTGGATGTCACCTGCAAAACGTGCGCCAATATGATCAAGGGCAAATCGCTTCAGGATATTCGCGAGACGTTCGCCATAGCCAACGACTTTTCTCCAGCTGAGGAAGAGCAGGTGCGCAAGGAGAACGAATGGTGCGAAGAGAAATAATAAGTGAGCGCAGTCTTTAATAGGGGAGTTCCTTTATTGTATCTGTTCCCCGATTTAGAAATTTTCATTAATTATATTGCATTACTCTTGTTGGAATTATTTGGTTTTAGTCTCTTTGGGATCAAAACAATAACTTTCATATGCATTTACAAACATGTCGGCTAATTTTCGAAACAGAAAAACACCAACTGCAATCTCTAGATGGCGCTATCGTGTTACAAACTTAGCCCTACCAACCCTTCTCACCGCGTGACTGCTGGTATTTTTCCCATGCAAAACATGTTTTTTGCTGCTCCCCGAACACGGTCACACTGCGGTTGAATTCGCCAAAAAAAAAACTAACTAAACTAAATTTTTGATCTGGATTGGCGCATAGCAAGTAAATTTGCAGTATAATTCTCGAAATTTTCTGTGAAATTGTATATTGACGCCGCATATAAACGCAATTCTAAAGTTGCGTGACAAAAACATTGAAAAACACAAACATATTTTGTTGGTGAAAAAACAGGCGGCGGCGGCGGCGACGCAACACACGCGACTTGCAAGCAAAACACGGCGAGGAGGACGACGACTAGACCAAGTGGCTTGGCTCTGGCTGAGTGTGCGTGCGTGTAAGTGTGTACGTGCGTACGTGCGTGTGCGTGTGTATGTGTATGTACAACTTGAGGATAAATTGAGGCACAATAATAACAACAATGGACGTATACGACATAAGCGACGATCTGATCAAAAAGCTCAACGACTGGAAACTGATTGGCATCATATCCGGCAAATTTAATGAGCTCAAAGAGAACTATTCTAAGGTGAACTTCGTTGAACATGCATTGATTGACTTCAAGTACATGGAGAAGATATTCCTAAATGTAACGCTACGCGAGAACAAATGCAACAAGCGCAGCGTCGAATTCCGCATGCTAGGCAACGAGCAGTTTTCCCTAAAGAACAGGAAATACTTTCAGGCAAGTGGGCCAATAGGCTATACAAGCTGATAATGGAAATGCTTAATGCTTTTAAAATACTGTTCCATATGTAATTTGTAAATATTATCGATTTTGATATCTGATTACACTTTACGAAATTTTAAAAGCATTCCACATAAAAAAATACCCAAAAAATACCTTTCTGAACACAAACTGATCTGGTTACTCTGATACTTATCGATAGATTAACTTAAATTGTTTGGCGGGAAATTTAAACTCTGCTAAACTTTTATATTCATGTTTACCTAATTGAAATTGGATGTAATAAAAATATAATTTTCTCTCTATAGGCGCTCGAATTGTACAACAAGAGCATTTGTTATGCGGAACCAAACTCGGAAAATTTGTCGATTGGATACGCCAACCGCTCGGCGGTCTTCTTTGAGTGGAAACGCTATCGCGAATGTCTGGCCAACATTGAGCTGGCGCGCAAGGCCAACTATCCAGAACGTCTGCGCCATAAACTGGACAAGCGGGAGCGCGACTGTCAGCAGTTGGTGCTGCAACAGCCTCCGGATATTGTACCGTACGGCTTCAAGTTGAACTTCGATGCACATCCGCAGGTGCCGTTCATAGCCAACTGCCTGGAGATGAGGGAAACGCCCGATGAGGGCAGATTTATAGTGACCACGCAGGATCTGGTCGTTGGCGATGTGGTTGCCGCTGAGCAGCCCTTCTGCTCCTCGCTGCTAGCGCCCATGCGATACATCAGGTGCGCCACCTGTAAAGAGGAGCGCTACCTTACGCTTATACCCTGCGACAGCTGCTGTTCGGTCATGTTCTGCTCGGAAGAGTGCAAGCGGCGTGCCAACAGCACTTTCCACAAATACGAGTGCCCCATCATTGACCTATTGCATCGCATGTTCAACAAAATCCACTGTATCGCGTTGCGCACAACGTTGAGCGCCTTGGATCTATATGGCAGCATTGAGGAGCTGATGGCCTACTGTGAGCAGCCGCAGAATCAGCACAAGTGCGTCTTCGATCTGGACTATACGCAGCTAACACCCCAGGAACATTACCGGGCCATACACGGCCTGGTAACGAATCAACAGCTGCGCTCCGTTTCTGATCTATTTCAGCGCTCGGTTGTCTGCGCCGTCCTCAAGCACTTTATCATGGAGTATACGCCGCTGAAAGATTATCTGGGCGGTGAGGAGGGTCGTAACTTTTTCACGGATCTACTGTTTAGACATTTACAAACATCACCATCAAACATGCATGGCATAGATCTCGTCGAGCAGGCGAACGAGACCAAGGACGATCAGTCGCATTCATCCGGCGCCTATGCGTTTCTCTCCCTGCTAAATCACTCGTGTGCACCCAACACGCTGCGTATCTATGAGGGCGTCAAGGCCTATCTGTTTGTGCTGCGGCCCATCAAGGCCGGCGATGTGCTCTACGATAACTATGGGTAAGACGAAACGACATAAATAAATTTGATGTTCGTAGAAATATATTTAATAAAAATCAATTTCTTTCTCGCCAGCGCTCACTTCGCCGTGTTCAGCAAGAAACAACGCCATGAGACGCTGTCCATGCAATATCGCTTCACCTGCAAATGCGAGGCGTGCGAATTGGACTATTTGACGTATAAAAATTTGCCGTTCAAGGCTTCGGTGCCGCTGGTGACCAATGACACGGACTTGAAGTTGTTGGGCGCCTATAACTATGATTTTGCGTTGACCAATTATCAGAAATACTGTGATTTTCTGACGCAATACGCTGCCGCTTTTCCCTGCGCCCAGATCAGTTCGGCCGAGGAGTGTCTCAAGATGGCACTGCATATCATGGTGGATGCGGTGCCGCTTAAGGCAAAAATGTAATGTGTCTGGGACACAATGCACTGACTGCCTCGCAACCCGCCATCCCACCCACCACCACCACCACCACCAGCTCCCAAGACACAGCGACGAACTACAAATATGTATATCTGGACGAACAAGCAGTAATTATCCCCCCTCCCCCTTCCCTTAACTATAATTTGTTGCCATAAGTTTCCAGCATTTTGGCAGCTAAGGCAGTTGTTGATTTTAATTGGCATGCAAACAGACAACACAATTCTTTAATATTTATATACTTGTGAATTTCTATTTCCAATTTGTCTTTCTTGAAATATTTTGTTCTTTTGTTTTACAATGCCACACTTCGCACACGAAATGATAGACAGAATTGTTAGGTCGTTTTCCCGCTTTGCCAGCGGCTCGGCCGCAAATACAAAGAAAATTTAGAAAACTAGGTCGCAAGCTCAAAATTTTTGTAATGTTGTTGGATCACCAATGTCTTCGAAACTGCAAAAAGAAAAACACTTTTTTGTAATTAGTTTACAAACAAATACAATATTTTTTAATTATGCATTACATGCTTGCTCTTATTTCACGCTAGATGGCGCTCTATCAGTATGCCACATTCTCTTACACAGCTTTTTCAGGCTATTTTGCTGTACAAATCGAGCAACTGCTGTTTAAGCACGCCCCCGTTGCGACTCGCTGTGTTGACCACCTCATCGTCTGCTTTACTGTTGCCAGTCAGCAGCTGGACAAATTCACAGCCGGAGGCATTGGGATTACGCTGCGCCTGTGACGTTGCTGCCGCCGCATTACTATCCGTGTCTGTAAACAAAATGCTGGAGAATGTTTGCTCGAACTGCCTCTGGACTTGGCGTGCATCCATGGGCTGCAAATCCTCGCCGGTTGGCTGCGACGACGGATTAATGTTGAGCTGCGCTGCCAGTTGATCTATGCGATTGGGCTCCCGTTGCTGTTGCTGCTGCTGCGCCAATTCGCTGCTTTTAATGTAGATATTGTCCCCAATGCATTGGGCATATTCCTGATAATGTTTCTGATCTACTTCGGCCAAAAAACTGCCATCCATGGCCTGAAAGCCAAGCCGAATCAGCAGCGATATCTTTGTATTGAAGCATTGCAGCCAGGCCCTGTTTGTGCGATAAATGGACAACTGTTGTTGCTCGCCGCAGGCATTCCAAAAATCCAGCAACATATTCTTGCCAAAATCGATGAGCATATTCCGCTTCGCATCGGGATACAACCTGTTAATGGCATCCAAGTGACGGAACGTTATGTCCAGCAAATGGTGCTGGTGGCGCGAGACGAACAGCTGCCACTTGTACATCATGGTCATCAGATTCCACAGCTTCTCCATGGACGTTTCGTCGAGGCGCATCAGGGAACAGGTGGTTATGTCCTTCAACATGAACTTGCAGTGATCCGCGGTCAGCAGCTGTGCGTTACCGTGCATGGATCCATTGATAAGGGATTCAATGAACTTGGGCTCCAACAGCACTGACGTCACATCGTGAATAACTGGAAAAGTGTAGTGGGGCTGAACTGGCTCTTAATTTAATATTTAAGTTAAACACATTTTACCTTGATTGGATTTGTCGGCCGCAATTTGCTGCGCCCTCAGGCGCTGGTCAATTACGTACAACGCCTCACAGCCCAGATTGACCAATATGAATACATTGGCGCGCGGATTGAGAGCTTGTCGTGTGGACATTTAAAAGGACCTGACCCGTTGGCAACAGCGCCGCTCGAATGCAAAATGTTAACTAAGCCTGGACAGCTGCCGCCTGCGAGTTAAGTCCTGCACGCGACCAACCACGAACAATTCTCACATACATTTATTTTATTGGATTTTTCGTTTCCGTATTACCGGACGGAGGGGCACGAGGGTCTCCTGTGGCGACGGCGACGGCGACGACGATGTTTGGCTGGTTTATGAGAACCCCGGCAACGTCTTTTATCGCCACAATACCTCCAAATAAAAATAATAGTCGATGGCTCAAATACCAACTAGTTGTCTTCCTTTTTATAATAGAAAGAAGCGGCAAACAATTCGATCCTGTCTATTAACTCTTAAAGCTAAACGCAGCTTAGACTTGGTAGCTAAACAAAGGTAGAATTTTGTCAGCTCTTAATTACTAACATTTAGCTAACCAATGAACGGTAAAGTTAATATACCCCATCCTGCGCAGCGAGCGTGCCATGTATAATTATGACTGTAAAAGTGCTGGAGTGGGAAATTTAGACATGAAGTTTTCCTAGCCGTCTGTCTGTCCCTTGGTTATTGATTTCTGTTTATTTTGCAAAACTAAACGTAAATTTTCGACATGTTTGTTATTGTTGTTGCACAGTTTATAAAACAATTACGCTAAATACAAAATAATGGCAGTGGATTAAAATGTTGCGTAGATTCATATTTCGCTTAAATATTCCCTGTATATTATATTTTTTGAGCGCTGCCAATCGCTGCAACGCCCACGAATTGCATTTTTATGCTAATGTAATATTCAAATTGGTGGTGGTTAAAGTTTGGGTCAAGTGTTTGCTCTTGTGGTCGCAAGTCTGCTCAAACACCTGCACTGTTTGGGTGGTGCACGGAAAAGGAAGCAGGAAGTTGCGTGGTTGCCTGCACAGTGCAATTAGTGCACGACATAACGTTGATGATATTTAAACTTTAACGTTCTAATGTTTCTTGGCGCGCAGCAGTCAAAAAGTGAAAGAAAATAAACAAAACGCAATGCGGTCACACTTATAATTGTTTAGTATTTTCTGCGAATTTGCAATACATGTATTCTTATCATGCGAGACGATTGATTAACAGCAATTAATAAAATAAATCGGTTTTTATGTTAAAAGTATACATTTAATAAAATAGTTTTAGCATACCAATTAGTTTGCAACACATCAAAGGTTTTGATAAATTCTAGCACACAGTGGAAACAATAATGTTGTATGCAATGCTGTCTGGTGGAAACAGCTCAGCCGGCTTGGTAACAAAATAAAATGTTGAAATATTTCGTTTGTTCGGTTTAGAGAAAACAGAAAACAAAATTTTTTTTAAATATACAAAAACATGTTGCGCAAAACTCTGCCCAACTGGACGAGCCAGGCGCTGTTGTGCCGTCAAATGTCCGTAGTCGCCAGATCGCTGAAGTACTCACAGCACGGCGAGCCGCAGGATGTGCTGAAACTGGTGGAGGATAGGCTGGCGGATCCCAAGGATAAACAAGTGCTGGTCAAAATACTAGCAGCGCCCATTAATCCCGCCGACATTAACACTATACAGGGCAAGTCTGCATGGAGCCTTAGGTTAATATTCATCTTATATAAACATTTATGCACAAATTGCAGGCAAATATCCCGTGAAGCCAAAGTTTCCGGCCACAGCAGGCAATGAGTTTGTGGGCGAGGTTGTCTGTGTGGGTGACCAGGTGAAAGGCATCCAGCCAGGTGCCCATGTGGTGCCGCTAGCCTCTGGCCTGGGCACCTGGACAACGCACGCTGTCTACACCGAGGATCAGTTGCTTGCCATTTCCAGCAAGGTGGGCTTGGCAGAGGCGGCAACAATAACAGTGAATCCCTGCACTGCCTATCGCATGCTCAAGGACTTTGTGAAGCTATCGCCCGGCGACACGGTCATACAGAATGGCGCCAACAGCGCTGTGGGTCAAGCTGTGCATCAACTGTGCTGTGCGTGGGGCATCAACAGTGTGGGCATTGTTCGGAATCGCCCGGAAATAAGCGAGCTGAAGCAGATGCTTCAGGGACTGGGCGCGACTGCTGTGCTAACCGAGGAGGAGATGCGCACGAGCGACCTCTTCAAGACTGGAAAACTGAAGCGTCCCCAGCTAGCCCTCAATTGTGTGGGTGGCAAGAGCGCAACGGAGGTGTCGCGGCACCTGAACGATCGTGGTGTAATGGTCACCTATGGCGGCATGTCCCGCGAGCCGGTTACCGTTGCCACAGGTCCACTGATCTTCAAGGACATTGCATTTCGGGGCTTCTGGATGACGCGCTGGTCCAAGGAGAACTACAGCGCACCGGAACGCAAGCAAATGTTTCAAGAGCTCTGCCAGCTGATGGAGCAGGAAAAGTTTGTGGCCCCAGCGCACGAGATGGTGCCGCTAGAAAAATTCAAAGAAGCCGCGGCTGCCGCGCTTAACTTCAAAGGCTTCACTGGCAAGAAATTCATCCTGGACATGAGCTGTAAAACGTGATTTATTTTATCCAATTTTAGTTGAAAATCAGCTTTTCAATTGCTTTTATATATGCGGAACACTTCCCAATAAATTAATTGGGTATTTTTAAAAAGGGATAATTGTGTTTCAATTCAGTAATGTGCGTTTAGATTTGAATATTTATTTATTTTTTTTTTGCAATTATAACATTTCAACCTCGTTGGCCTGGTACTTGAGCTGCAGCGTAATGGACGTTGGCGATGTGGCATCGGTTATTGTCAGCTGTTGACCATCTTGGAGGCCCAGCTCGCCCAGCGACTGCGTCAAGTTCTTGCGCGTGGCCTCTTCAATGCTTTTCACATTGGCCATGTACAGAGTGCGCTGCTTGCCATCGGCCATGACGGTGGTCAGTGCTGGGCTCTTGAGCTGAAAACGCGGCAATTCGCACAATTGCTTGATAACATCCTCAAGGGTTGTCGTATTGGGATCCTCAATGTGCAGCAATTGCGGCGTGTTGCTGCAGGCCAAGCAGCCATCCGACTTTTCCGCCTCATAGGTGTACGAATAAATGCCGTCCAGATCGTTGAAGTTGAAATAGTTGGACATGCTATCGTAGCAGCTGGTGGCCAGCTTAAACACCTCCAGGGCGCAGGCGGCGGCAATCACCGCATTGGTGCTGGCCACTGCCGGAATAATATGCTTGATGACGCCCTGCACCAGGCGATACGTGACGCCGCTTATATTAAACTGATTGGCACGCTCCAGGGCACGCTCATATATCCAGCCAATGTGCTGTGGATCATCGCCGTCCAGCGGCGCACTGAAGGGGCTCTCCTTGTCCCATTGTATTATCTTCACATACTCAATGCAGTGCTCTGGCAGTCGCGGCGTGTTTGCGATCGTGCACAACGGATAATTGACCTGCGGCGGAAACAGGTCCAAGGTGCACTCAATGCAGGCAGTGAAGCCGGGCAATATGACACGTGCATTGCCCTTAAATCCCTCGGTGCCACCGTCTATCATTGGTATAATCGAGGACACGTCAAGGCTGTTGTCTTCGTCGTAGCGCAGCATAGAGAGCAGCATGCCGTTGATCCAGCGGCGTGCCACTATAGAGTCCAGGCCGCAGACAATGATGTGGAACTGTTGGTAGAATGACTCATCGAAGTCCTGTATCTTGGCAAAGTGAGGCGTCACCCTACATGTGGGTATACGATTATTAATAAAGCGGGCGGCGCATTCCGCCTTCGATGATCCAATATCCGTGCGCCGAAACAGAAACTGACGGTTCAGATTGGACAGCTCTATGGTGTCCATATCAATCACATGCAAATCACCGAAACCCATCAGTGCCAAATCTTTGAGCAGCTCACAGCCCAATCCGCCGGCGCCTATGATGAGCACTTTGGACTTCGTCTGGAGAAAATCCAAATTGTCCGGCGACGGCGAAAAATCATCCTTGCAAAAGAGACCCTCTCGCTCCAGGATATGCCGCAACCCATTAAAGCGTTTGCTTTGTAGCGTTAAAGCGGGATTGGAAGGCGAGGCAACTGACATTATTTCGTCGAATTCAATTTCTAAATCCTCGAGTGCAAATTAATCAAAGCGGCAAAATATTGGTTATATTTAGTAAAATAGTCAAAAAACACCTAAATAATGCTCATTAAAAACCAAAAATAAAATACTGTACTTTTTCACCAATTAATTTAGTATTTCAACCATATATATAAAACAAATCAGCTGTCAGTTTTTATTAAAATTAAAAACGAGACTTAGTTACGCGATACGCCACATGCATTTTTGTAAAGGAAAACTGAACATTCCATTATAAATATATTAAGATTTTAAATTAATCGAATACTGCTTAACTATCGATTTTACTAATCACATTTAGGGTAAACGATAGCAAAACTATCGGCTATCGCACACATCTCCATACAAATTTAAAACAACGGCACTTCAATCGAAGAAAAAGTCGCGTCCTTTGTAGCGTGCTTCCTCTTTGCTGTACTTATTGTTGTAAATAAGATCAAATTCGGAAAAAAACGAAAATTTAGGAAGTGAGAGTGAAAGTAAAGTGTATAAAATTTTAGTAAATTGCTGCGCTTTTAATTACAATTAAATTGCTGCAGTCAAATTGGCGCGCACTCATCTAAAATGACGCTCTCCGTGTTGGCGTCGTTTGACGATCTGCGACGTTGCATGCAAGTGCTGACCGAAGGCACCGCTGAGGAGGGTGAGTGCATGCAGCAGCAAGTAATACTGTAACTCGTATTGGTATCCCCTACAGAATTCCTGCGCTTCTTGCGCTTGTTCGAACAGTACCACGAGAAATGCAATGGCTACGCCACACAAAATGCGCGCCTACAAACAGAACTGGACAAATCGCTGGCTAAGATGGGCGATCTGGAGGGCAAGCTGTATCATGCGCGCCGCATCATTGATACGGAAATCAAGGCGCGGCGTCTGGCGGAGCACGAGCGCGACGCCATGGAAAATAAGATAATGGCCGTTGCCGATTTGCTGCGCCACGAACGAAATCTGAACAACGAGACGCGCGATAAGTTGGCTTTTCTAAATACGCTGCCTTCGGCCTCGACGCGCAAGCGCAAGTCCCTAAATACACTGCACGAGGACAAGTCATATGGCGACATTAATTCAACAGGCTCTTTGCTATCCGACTTATCTATAACACATTCTGAGGATGATTTTCTCGATGTGCGTCGCTCCAAGTCTTGGCGTGAACACCGTCCGTCATTGCCCAAAAATCCTGTGCCGTGTGTGGGCACTAAACGCTCTCGTCTGAGTACAGGCCACAATGGAAGCAACGTTGGCACACCAACCGCTGGCACCGTCAGCGCCACAACGCATCGCTCGGGTCACGTGGATCAGCACACATTGGATGTGGGCCAGGGTGCTGAGCGCTTCTGCGCCACCACCAAGGTGACGATACCACAGGATGGCCAGGGTGTCATACGCGCCGAGTCTACCATTGAGTCGCTGCCCGTGATTGTGTCTCATGAACGCGTTGCCGATGTCCAGACTACCTCAACGCCGCGTCGTTCGGGCGTCAAAGAGCCCACAGCGCCGCCGCAAACGCCACTTAATAATGCTATGGCTGTGGGCATGTCGCCGGCGCAGCAGAATCGTCTCTTAATGCGGAAGCACAGCTTCAGCCAGAAGACCTTTTTGCGTGGCGACAACTGTGTCCAGTGCCAAAAGCGGTACAGTCAAACATTGAAAGTTCACTAACCCCAATAGAAATTTAACATCAATTTTAATATCTTGCAGCATTCGCTTTGGCTCGGTGGGATTGCGCTGTCGTGACTGTCCGGTGCGCTGTCACCTCGACTGTCGACAGCTGCTCACCGTCAGCTGTGTGCCGCAGTCGGGCACGCCCACGGCGAAAACGGAGATGCATTATCTGAGCGATTTTGCGCCAGCAAGTGCGCCCATGATACCTGCACTGATTGTGCACTGTGTCAACGAGATTGAGGCGCGTGGTCTTAGTGAGGTGGGTCTCTATCGCATGTCGTCGTCGGAGCGCGAGTACAAGGCACTGAAGGAGCAGTTCCTGCGCGGCAAGGTGACACCCCATTTGGGAAGTACGGACATCTATGTGCTGTGCTGTTGTGTCAAGGACTTCTTGCGCACGTTGCGCGAACCGCTCATACCTACGAGCCAGTGGAAGGACTTTGCCAATGCTGTGCAAAATCCAGACAACAAGCTGGCCATTGAGTCTCTTTATCAGGCAGTGGAGCAACTGCCGCCCGCTAATCGCGACACTATGGCATTCCTAATGCTGCATTTCCAGCGCATTGCCGATTGCCCAGTCGTAATGATGCCCATAGATAATATATCTAAGATATTTGGGCCCACAATTATGGGCTATTCGTCGCGGGATCCGGATCAGCATGCTCTCTACACAGAAGTCTTTACGCAAACGCAAGTAATGAAAGCACTGCTCGAGCTACCCGGCACTTTTTGGCAGCAGTACCTGGCCTTCGAGCCTTCACCACCGTTGGTACCACCTGGCAGCGGTGTCAAACGTGTACCCAGCAACAACAGGGATCTGTTCTCGCTATATGGTATTTACTGCTATTCACATAACTATATAAATTTTATAATGCTACCATTTATTTTCGCCAGCTACGCCACTTAAGGGCACTATGAAGAAGCGCAAATTTTACGGCACGCCACCAATGTCTGCGCACAAGAAGTAGGGGATCGGCAACCGTTCCTATCCCCGAATGATTAGATATTATATTATGCATCGCTGGCGTGCTGACTTAAATCTACAAGTATTTCTATTTTTTTCTTTTGTTTGCACTAGCTGTGTGCTTATAGTTTTATAGAACTGCTCCTGAAATGTTATTACAGACTTTGAATACTGTTTATACATACAACTGCATTGATTCAATACTTAACAATTTGTCAACTAAGAATTCTCAACTACATTCGTTCTATTTTGGTAATCAATATTATATTTGTATAATAAAAAAAAAACTGAACAATTCTTTGGATACACAAAACATATTATACGAATTTCTTATGCATTATTATTATTTAATTTAAGTAAAAGTTGCGTTATAAAAACCCACTTTGAAAGAAGAGTCCTGCTTTAAAAGTCAAAAGTAAAATGCATTTGTTACAAATTTTAAGGTTCAACTGAACTGACCAGATTACCACAGACAGCTCTCAATCTCTAAACTAATCACTAATAATTATTTGTGTTATATACTTTTTATAGATTAGGGCAGCACGAACAAGAGCTGTCTAGCCTGGGGTGTCTAACTATGCTGTACCCTTCCCCTTCATCCCACACTGGGGAATGCATGTTTGAATTACTCAAGTCTTTATTGTCCAATCTTTATGAAAGGTTTAGATTATAAATATGACATGAAAAAGCATTAACAATTTTAGGGGAAGTACCCATTATAAGAGGACAGTATGCGTGCAAAAATCGTAATTTTAAGGGAATTTACTGAGGTACCCGGGATCCAAAAGAAACACATATTTTCGATTACCTGGCGTAGGCTGAAGGGCAAGCATAACAAACGATACAAAGTGCCAATGTGGAGGGCAAACTTTTTCTTCCTTGAAAGTAACTGAAAAATCTTATAGTTTTGTTATTA